ATAATTTAACAACTACTTAAACTTAAAAAAAAAAAAGCCTTTAAAAAACTTTTATTTACTTAATTTAAACATAAACTAGAACTTAAATAGTAGATAGACATCTACTACATAAAACCTACCTTATTTATAACTCTAGCTTAATAACTAGATTATAAAATCTACATAGTTATAATTTCTAATATAGACTAAGCTTTAGCTCTTTAAAAACACACTAACCTAAGGATAATAGTCTCTTAAAACTACTATAACCTATTATATGTCTTTTTCTAAAACAAGTTTAATAAGCTTTTAATATAATGTTTATATAATTACTAAATAACTTTTAAGCCTAGTAAACAACCTAGTTATAGGCTACTATATAAGATGTTACTAAATAAATTAAAAGTGCTCTAAAAATACTTTAATAAAAACTTAAAAAAAAAGTTTATTTAAGCTAGCTTTTTACTAGTAGTGTTACTTATACTATTTATAAAAAAACTTAAAAGTAGGCTTTAATTTTATGTTAACTACTAAAAACTAAACACTGTTACTATTAAAAACTAATACTTAATTTTCTTTTTATAAAAAACTTTAAGCTAACTAAGTAAAGTAAAGTATTTTATAAAGTTAAATATTATTACTACTTTTAATAAGCTAAAGATAGTAAAGGGTAATAAGTAGCTAATAGCATTTTAGACCTAATATAAACTATTTAAGTACTTAGTAATGCTCTTTAGCTTAGCTAACACGCCTAGTACTTTTTAACATTTTGTAAATAACTTACTCTAACCCTACCTAGACATGTTTTGCACTATGTATATTAATAATATTCTAATCTATAGTAATAGCCTATTAGAGCATAAACAGCATGTACGCCTAGTGCTAAAGGCTATAAAAGAAGCAGGTCTATAACTTAATATAAATAAATGTAAGTTTTACTAATTAAAAGTTATATATTTAGAATATGTAATTTCTATAAATAGCATCTAAATAGACCCTATTAAAGTTTAGACTATACTAGATTAGTAATACTTAAAGAACATAAAAGATGTTTAAGCTTTTATAAAATTTACTAACTTTTACTAATAATTTATTAACAACTTTTTACAGCTAGTAAGCTTTATAATTATACTTACTAAAAAAAAGTTTAATTTAACTTTAACTTAAATTACTAATAGTCTTTTAACTAGCTAAAAAAAGCCTTTACTAAAGCTTTAATACTCTACTACTTTAACTTTAAACTACTAATACTTGTAGAAGCTAATGCCTTAGACTATATAGTAGCAGGAGTTCTCTTCTAGACTAAGCTAGATAGGACTATTAAGCCTATTACATACTTTTTAAAAAAAATAAGTCTTATAAAAAGTAATTATAAGATTTATAATAAAAAATTACTTACTATAGTACACTACTTTAAATAATAGCAACCTAAACTAGAAAGTGTAGCGCATCTAATACAGGTCTTATTTAACTATAAGAACTTACAGTACTTTATAACTATAAAATAACTTAGCTACTAATAAGCTTATTAGTTTAAATACCTATTTTATTTTAATTTTAAGATTACTTATTATTCTAGTTAAAATAGAGAGAAACTAGATGCCTTTATAAAGTAATCTTAAGACATTCTTACTTAGAAAAAAGTGTAAAAGGCTTAATACTAAACTCTACTTTAACTTAAGCTATTTTTAGACTTTAACCTAAATAAAATAAATTAAATAATTAATTAGATTATTACTAATAAGTATCTAAATAATAAATTTATCTAAGAAACTTTAGACCTACTTTAAAACAGCGCTAGTTAGTTAAAGAAGGTAATACTAGCTAACTATAAAAACTAAAATAGTAAGCTATATTACTATAACTAACTTATAATTTTTAATTTTAATAAACTAAAAATTAAACTACTTTAAATTATACATAACTTGCCTATTAAAGAACACCTAGGCAGAGAAAAGACTCTTAACCTACTATAAAGAGAGTACTACTAGCCCTGCATGTTCTATACTGTACGCTAATACATATTATGTTGCTATACTTACTGTAAAGTAAAAGCCTTTTAAAAAAAAGTATAATAGCCTACTTAAACTACTTCTAATTCTTAAATAAGCTTAAAAAAATATATTAATTAATTTTATTATAAACCTACCCCTATCTAAAGGGTATATAAATATTATAGTAGTTGTTAATTACTTAACTAAGTATTAACACTTAATACTATGTTCCTCTATAACTGCCTCTAATATAGCCTAGTTATTCTACTAATATGTATAAGTTTACTATAGCCTGCCTAACATAATTATATTAAACAGAAGTACGCAGTTTGTCTTAGCTTTTTAGAATAAACTCTATAAACAGCTCTAAATTATCTCTTATTTATCTATAGCTTTTTACCTAGAGACTAATAGCTAGACTAAGAATGTAAATACTGTAATAAAATAAGTTCTATAAGTGTACATAAACTACTAGTAAGACAACTAAGTAAAATAGTTAGCTATAGCATAGTTTAAAGCTAATAACATAACATCTAAATTAACATAAGTATCTCTGTTCTTAGCAAACTATAGATACTACCCTTAAATAAGATTTAAACTACTTATAAATACCTTTTAACTAACTTATTAATTTATATAAGTAATAAATGTAAATAGACTTATTAATAAAATCTAAAATATATTTAAATACATTTATAAAAAGCTTATATAGGCTTAAGCTTTTTAATAAGAGTACATAAACTAATTCTAAACTCTTACCCCTATGTATGCAGCTAGCAAGAAGGTCTAGCTAGACACTAGAAATATCTAAATAAACTAATAATTAAAAAAACTTAATTAAAAAAACTTTAGCCTTTTTATAGTAGCTTATATAGTCTTATTACATGCTTACTAATTAATCCTACCTAACAGCATAAAGATACACCCTGTGTTCCACATATTATTGCTGCGCTAAGCAGCCTTTAAATCTAACTATCTACCTAGATAGCTAAACTTGCTACCTAAA